CTGTACACTCAAGTCCTTGCCGATCCCTGGAATCTTACTTGGGAAGCTGATACATCACTATTAAATCACACTTGCTGCTTGATTGCAGCAGTGTAGCTCTCTGAAATACAATGTATCCTTTTGATTTTTAAGGCATTTTATTGCTTGTATTCATTTACTTCTGTCCCCATAAACATCAAGAGGGTATAGAACCAGCACCTTTCATTTCTTCCTCACATGATCTCCTTCATGTCACCCTCAGCTCGGACGCCCAACTCGTCGTTCCACATTTGGACTCCATCGATGACCTGTTCTGGTCTGGCGCATGATGTCCTTGAATGGTATTTTCAGTGTATATCCAATCCAGTCCACCTCCACTTTCTTCTTCTGACTATTTGTTGGGCTATAGCTTCTTGTTTCATTGGTTCGATGCCAGTCAGTCCGAGTTCCTTGTTGTTTATTCTTATTATTCTAGCCATCTGATCTCCATTTTTAGTATTGAGTGAGCACAGGCGTCAGCTGTTGATGATGTATGTCTGTAGTTTGTTGGAAATACTTTTCGTGACGCGCCAAGTCTCTCAACCCTCACATAGAAGCCTTGACTGACTTGAGTTAATTAGTGTTGTAAATCTGGACGTTGTTCACGCCTAATGCCGAGTGCAGTGCAGTGTAGTGGAGTGCAGTAGATCTCCACACTTGGCTGCCTCGACATCCTCATCTGTGCCTGTACCTGTCTGTAGCTGAGACGATGCTGTCTAGGTAGGTGAAAGAGACATCTTAGTTTACGTCTCATCCATTCACAGTGATTGGTGCTTGCTGTTGTTGGTTGGGTATCTTCATCACATCTGTCTTCTCTACGCTCACCTGAAAGAAGTCCCGTCTTCACCGCCTCATCTCTTCTTCCAACTTGTTAGTTTTGCCTATAGATCTTCGAGTTTGTGCTACAAGACATTAAACATAAATCATCACCGGCGAAATCCAAATTTTTTAGGGTCTTTTCATCGATCCAGCCAGCGTATGCTCTTCACCGTTTGTTGCATGATCCAGTCTAGTCCAGTCGACTGCAATCAAGAAGGTCATCAGAGATGAATGTAGGCAACCTTGTCTTAATCATGTCTTCACTTCAAATGCACGACTAAGCTTTGCATTGTGAATCACTAGGCATGTAGCATCATATAGCATATAGCTGCTGTTGAATGAGATTGATAAAGGTTTGTGGTACTAAAACCGTAGTGTTGAAGCAGCTGCCAAATAACTTCTTGGTCGAAGCTGTCGGATGCCTACTTAAAGTGGATGAAGTTGAGGTAGAGTTGAATTGACTGACATTCTACACTCTGTTCTATGATGACGCACTGTGTAGCGTTGCAATCTGATGCACACATGATTTGTTCTTCCTGAAGCCAGCCAGCCCACCTGTTCCGGTAGTAATTTTGAATACAGAGCAAGATTTAGTTTCACTAGGATGATGCGGATTAATAGCTTGCTTGGTGTGTGTGGACAGGAGCATGATTCCGTGCCAGTTCCTGCAAGGGCTTAAGTCGTCCTTCTTCGGGAATTTGACAAGGTAACTTTCCTTCTTTCCAAACCTTCTGGAGTAGTGGTGTGACCATTTCCTCTGTCGTCTCTGCGTCTGTTTTCAGTGCTTTTAGTTGAATTCCATCTGATCCTGCTGCTTTCCCGGCTTTCATCAACTTTATGGAGTTCAAGACTATGGCTTCAGAATAGTTAGATGAAAAAAGCAAATAACCAATGCTTATAGCCAAACTGGTGAGTCAACCTAAGAGTGTTGGGAAACCCTCAGTTGAAACCGGTGTCTTCAGTGTCTCATGTTCCGTGATCAGATAAAGCAAACCCACCTAAAGTAAAAAAAGTTTGAACAGAACTTCAAATAGTACAGAGATATATTATATCTGGGCCAGACCATTTATTCTTAGATGTTTTTAAGGATAAAGGTGTTACTGTAGTCAGTGAACTGACCAGATAGTTTGACAGAGCACTTAAGACTACCGATGATCTATCAATCTGCAATGAGGCTTTCGTTTATGCCTCTTTTTAGAGAAGTTACTTAATTTGTGTGGTAGTCGTCACCATGTTCGTCTGCTATCAGTAATGTCAAAATATTCACTTTCAAAACTGCATGGAAAACTCATTCACAAGGGGAAAGTCGGGTCTCGTTCAGGCTGTATAAGCACTGATTATGTTTTCTCTTTGCATAAGGTGCTGAAATACTGTCACATGAATCTTAGACCAGCATTCTTCATATTATGGCTACCTTCAACTGTTTGAACTTGGTAGTGCCCCTAAATATCCATTAGAGAGAGATATCTTTGAGAAGACTGTCAGCAGGCATATACAAAAATATCTCAGGCAGAATAAGGGGATACAATCTTTCGTATTAATTGTCTCAAACTAACAGTGGAGTTAGGCAGAGTTGGTTAATTTCACCATTGCCTTTTAGCCTTGTTATTGAAAGCATCTTCAAAATAGCTCTGAAGGAGGTGGTGGTATTGATCTGTTGTCAGGTGAAAAACTTTCCTGCCCTGAGTATGCGGATATTATTTGATTGTGGAACGACACATGCTACCCAACCTGAACTTCATCATCTATTTATCAGTGTCAATAAGTGTAGTATGTGCTCTGCACCGCTGTAGTGTAAAATACTTTTAAAGGACTGGAGGGAGCCTGTGTCGGTGAGTACTCACTAGAATTTGTCAAAAGATTTGTATACCTCTGTAGTTGTGTGAGTGCTGGTAGAGGCGTGACTGATGATATTTCCAACAGTACATAGAACTCAGAATAGTACATGCTGGTTTCGACCACTTCTGGCACCATCATAAAATCATAAAAGGTCAGATGTAAAACTTGTCGGTGCAGGCACTTCTGGTGTACGCCTGTGAAATCTGATCTCTCTCAGAACAGGACATTTGAAGACTCAGTATGTTCAGCCACCACTGTCATTGCAGAATGAATAGTTGTGTTAGATGAGCATGTGTTAGTGCCTCACGGTTTCTTGGATTGGCCTTAATAGACCAAACAACCAAACTTTCATTGTCGAAAAGTAAAACAGTATGAATGCTTCTTTGAAGGTGTCTTTGAGACTGCCTTCTGAATAATCCACTTCTCTTTTGTTCCTCTACTCTTTTTGTTTCCTTCATCCAAGTCACCGTTCCTATTTAATTTCGTTGTGGATTTACTAATGGAATTAACCTTAGATAAGTCTGACTTCACAAGGATTGACTTACTCCTTGAAGGTCATCTGGTTGACATGGAGTATGTAGATGATAATGTCTCGCTAGGTGAAGATACTGTCAGAATGAAACGTCTTCTAAATGCGTTGAGCAGAAATTTGAGTATGTTTGGCATAGATTTCGCATCCATCATGTTTATAACTATGCTCCAGGAATGGTTTGCAACTACTTCTAGTGTAATTATCATGAACTGTGTTGCCTGCTTCACTTGTTTGAGGAGTTACAGCAGCTCGAATGAGCTGGTTGTTGCAAGATCTCTGATTAGACATAAAAGGCCTGTTTAGCATTTGCCAACTTGCATCATCACTGGCTCCAAATGGCGAGATATGAGATAAGAACATAATGTGCTACAGTCCATTCTGTACTACTGTGAGGCATGCCATTAAAAAACCTTCTTTGCCTCCTCACTATATTTGAAGTTTACTACTCTCTATATGATGACAATGCAGTTGGTTGATAGGCTTACGAATCTCACCACATCTATGTGCATTTATAAATCTAACTACACCTGTGGAGATAGTTATATAGGTAGAACGATTCAGTAGGCCCACCATCACTTCACTAAACACTATCTAGCGTCGTTTGGCAAAGGAACAGTGAAATCCATCAAAAACTCAATGCTCCACCATTTACTAGATACTGAACACAAAATTAACAAATTCTCACCACTTACTACTATTTACAAAGTCACTTCACTATACTCCAATTTTGTGCGCCTCTGATTGCTAAGCAATGCACAAGTCATAACAATTAAAATTTTCAAACTGGATCTGTGTATTCACAAGATGTTTGTTCATTCTCTTTCCCTTCACTCCCATAGCGTTCAACTTCAACCTAAACACAATTACACTAAATTCCTTCCCAGTCATCTGGATAACAGTAAATATTATCTCTGTTTTGTACATTCTGTTATCTAATCACTAGATGACAATAATTTTATTTGGGAGAGGAATGGGGATTTTCAACTTTGAGGTAGTATTGATCACGGAGTGATGTGAGTTGGGGGAAGCAGTGAGAATTTGGGAGCACTGGACAACTGCTTCATCCTAGTACGAGACTCTTCAGCAGCACGCACCCACGATCTGGATAGTGCTGGAACTGAGGACTTTCAGGCTGCATTGTGAACGTGTTGGTTGATAGTCACACTGTATCGTGAAGTTGGAAACTGTGAACCATCGAATTGCAACCCAGTATCTGAATGGTTAACGCGTTGACCGTGAAACCTGAAGGTCGTCAGTTCCGATCCCTAGTGTGGGTTGTGGGTGCGTACTACTGAAGAGTCGTATGCTGGGATGCAGCAACTGTCCAGTACTCCCAGGTTTTCAATGCTTCCCCAAATGATGTCACTTCGTGATGGATACAGGCATAGAGTGCCTGTAAACCAACACACACACACACACATCCTCAAGGATTGATAACTGAGAATGTAGAAACTTTCCGAGATTTTGTTTTATTTTCTTATTATCACCTTTGTTGTTTGTTATCTTCTAATTCATCTACCAGAATTCAATTAATCATGTTGGTATCATATAATGGCTATGTTGAATAATTTGTAAATGTAAAGCCTTATGAGAATTTATCGAAAAATACGTATTCCCTTGGAACACTGTCTTTTCATTATGATATAGTGACTTGGAAACTACAGTTTCAGTTTAAAATACTTCTGAGCTGATGTTTTCATTCTGTTATTATTTTAGATTTCAATCTCTTATGGTTAAATATCGTATAAATGAATAATCACAAAGATTATACCTACTGTTAAAATATTGTAAGATGTCACAACCAAATGTTGTTTCAAATATGTACCTTCGGAGACTGTTTAGACTATTGTCAGGTAAATGTTACCTTACTTATAAAATAATTTTATATTTCCAATATGACTATGGAGAAAGAAATGATACTAACACTAACTGACAAGATAGACACCAGTTCCAATTACCTAGGAGATGTTTCCATAGCTTAGGCAGTACTGCATTTCATGCACAGACAACTAGGTACTCTTATCTCGGAAATCTTTCTGAAGCTCTACAACATCTACATACGACCTCAGTTTGAGGTCCACAATATCATTACATCATCATACTGTTAGGAAGTGGCCAAAAATGGAAATCATCAAACAAGGTCACTCACTGTTGGGGTAGAAATACTTTTAAATACATTGAATATTCCCATTCAGACATTTATTAAAAGGCTGATTGAGCGAAGAAATGTATATTCCTTATCAATTAGGTCTTCTTCTTGAACTCTACACTAATATATAGGGGTCTACAATTTAATCAAATTACCAATCACGTGGTGATGTTTCAGAAATAATAATATCAATAATCAATAGGGTTACTAAAATAGGAAATACGAATATTGATAGAAACAAGGGGAAGGGGAAGAGGTGTACAAGGTGACCCTTGAAGTCATATCATGTTGACGGCCACGATAATGAAAGTGGTCGAACAAACTTCTTTTAGATACAAGGTTCGGTTTGTAAAGGTGAATTGCAATCGCCTCTGTTATATGAAGTGACTGAGTGCGTAATCCATGTGGTAAATTAATTGGAATCTGGTGGATAATTTTGAAGGCTTTTCCAGTAACCACTTGATGTCCTGTGTCAACCAAATGTGCAAGTATGGAGCTCTTTATAGTTCCAATTTGTCCCTTGTTCAACCATGATGGGTGGTGCTTAGGAATTCGAAGATGGAACTGCCTCATTGTACACCCAGGAGCAGTTGAATTGATAAATGCACATAGAAGTGACACAATCAGTCACTTCGTCTTTATTTCTTGCACTTCGAATCTGGCAGTTGTAGAAATCGGGACATAATTTAGCGGCTGGGAATGCTTTATGCAAGACTCTTTTTATGCAATGTGTAATGATCTCACTGGCAATATCACTCTTAAATTTCAGCTTGAAGAAGATTCGCTTCTTGGGCACTGTTGGCATTGTTGTCTTAACCCTCGTAATATTCATGTGCTTAGTTACAAACTTGTCTGGTTAGCCATTCCTACCAAGCAGATCATGGATGGTGACGCACTTTTCCTTTATAGCATCCTCTGAGAAAATGGCTGATTTATATCCATCTGATTGATGATCAAGTGACTTCATTTTGTGAGTAGAAGCTGGTTTTTTCCAGCTAAAATTGTCTTCCTTAGGTCAGTTACAGGCAGGTATTTTGTCTTCTGATTTTCGTGGATCAGTGGAGTATCAGGTGTGGTGGACAACAGTCGTATTACTCATATCTCGTTTCATTATTACTCGTTTCGCTTTCTATTAGAACTCAAGTTCAACTACAAGTGAGTCATATGACATACCGAAACAGACATGTGAACCTCCCAGAGAAATCCAGAGGCGAGGAACGAAGGATGTTGTAGCAGAACGACAAAAAACCTATGAGGATAGACTAAACAGAACGGTCACTGCTGCAATCTTCCTTGTAACCCAAGGGGGATCACTCACCAAAGGGTGAAAATCCGTATGCATCCACACTTTTTCTCTCTACTTTTGCGGCCGTTGGAACACATTGCCAGCCGAAATTGCTACTGTTGTGTCTATCGACAGCTGCAAGAAGAGGCTGAACACCTACACAGCAACACACAGCTTGCAATCAACTGATTCCGTATCATGCTAGCACATTCAACCGCATATCGAACCTTTTGTACTGCCACTATTATCGCGAACTTGACTCAATCTTATACTTCCGTGTTCAACGTCTCATCTTCACTCACCGTATCCGCACTAATAAATTTGCTAGTTCTATTCCTATCTTACCTGCTCCTTCTCCTCCCTTCGACTCTATAATTTCACCCTATTTATTGACTTTCTCATTATCTCTGTTTTCTTCCTCGTATCTATCTAGGTTTCTTTTTTCTCTTCCTTTCGTTCTGTTTCTTTTCAGCTGGTTTCTTCTCACTTCCTCTACTTCTTATTAGCTGGACAACATTTCATTCTTTTTATCTTCTTTCTACAACCAGTCTGAACATGTGTTTGCTGACACAAGAAACTCATTTGCACCATAGTCTTAGGACATGTCATACAATCCTCCTACAAATGTGTGGAGATCTTCTGCACTGCACTCAGCATAAAGCGTGAACAACATCCAGATTTTCGACACTAATTCACTTAAGTCAGTCAGTGCTTTTATATGGTTCAGAGACTTGGTGCCTTACGAAAACCATTTCCAACAAACTACAGATATTCATCAACAACTGCCTACACTGGCTCGATACTAGAGATCACATAGCCAGAATCATGAGAATAAGCAAGAAGGGACTTTGGCAGGCTGGCTGGCAACGAACCAACGAAGCGAGAACCTATCACTCAACAAATATGTACTGGAAGGAAGTGGAGATGTATTAAGCATGCAGTGAGAATACGATTTGGGGACATCATGCGCCTGGCTAGTCCCTCGAATGGAATCCAAAGGAGAAACGGCGAGTTTGGCGTCCCAGCTGAGGGTGATATGGAGGAGATAGTGTGTGAGGAAGAAATGAAAGGTTATGGGCAGTTTTGGAGCCAGGTTGAAAAGATTGAAGCGAAGAGAGTGGAATGGAGATGTGCTGCTGAAGCCGTATGTTCCACTAGGAACCCAAGGGAAAAAAAATAATAATACAAATGTGATCAATACTCAACCACCTATCAAGCATACCAGAGCTGCAACAAGTAAGAGGATAGACCTACTGCTTGGAATCGACCAAAGACTTGTAACCTTTTCATAGTGAGCACGAAGTAATCAACTCACGTACACAAGCTCATAAAGAGACATTGGATTTTCTTTCATAATTTTAAGCAGAAAGTATTGTGTTTACTGAAACTATTGACCTTTACAGTTTGAAAGACAATCATTATTGGCATTTCTTCAAGGAGTAAGTGCTCAATGATTCATCATCAATGTTGAACGCTTACAATCTGTCCTATTAAAAGATCTGCTTATGTCAGTTTGCTAATTGACCAGTAAGGATTAAGAAAAGTTATCTTCCATCGATATGAGAATTTCGGTAATGATTGATATAAATGTTATTATTGTTTAGCTTTTTCTCTATACGATGTCAATAACCTGTGAACTTTTAATGAATTCAATCAGTAAATGATTACTGACTCGAATCCTGTTGATATTTCTTCCCTTTAACATCACTTCACTTTTTTGAAAGGATAAAACAGTTAAGTAGAGCTAAGAAGTGGCTTCTACCTGAATTTTATACCATCTAAACAACCACTCAGAACCACAAAATTCCCGAAAAGAAATCACTTAAAGCATAGATAAGATGATAGACGAGTTTATAAGAATGTAAAAATGATCGGTTTTAACATAACTAGGCTGTACATGAATATACAGATTGACATGGCTCTAGAGGCAGTTAGAAATGGGCTTAAGGATGACAATCAGTTTACGCATCGAACTAAAGTGTCGATAGAGGATATCGTGCTAGGAGTACAATTGTGCCAAAAATCTACACTTCTTAAGTTTCAAAATAAAATGTATAAGCAAACTGAAGGGGTTGCTATGGGATCACCAATATCCCCTATCGTTGCAGACATATTTATGGATAGATGACGCTTCTTACATTTAGTACTACTCCAAAGATATGGTTCCGATATGTAGATGGTACGTTTATCGTACTGAAATCGGTACATATCAGTAGGTTCTTGGCACATATAAATTCAGTAGTGAATCTAATCCCATTTGCCTTTGACTTACAAAGTGATGAAGACGAGCTAGTAAGTGTTGGGTTGCATGATTAAACGAAAAAACCATGGAAGTTTAGAGACTAGTGTCTATAGAAAACCTTCCCATTTGAATCGCTACTTTGACAAATTCAAAAGAAATCGAAGGAAGAATATGAGCAGTAGTAGTGGTAGTAATACTGGCGTTATTAATAATAATTCTACTACTAATAGTAATAATGGTGACAGAGTTGAGAGAGAATTCAAAGCCCCTGCTGTATTACCATACAAAGAAGGCACCTTAGAAGCATTACGAAGAATTCTCAATAAGCTGGCTGAGACTAAAGTGGCTTTTTACGTTGAAAGATTCTATCAATGCAATCAAGCAAAATAATCTAGTTTACCGAATCCATGGAAATGATTATGAGGTCAAATACATAGGTGAAAGTAGTCGACCAGGGTCAATTAGAATAACAGAGAACAGAAACTTAACTAAATGAAGATAAGTACATTCATACAAAATCACACAGTAGGGTGGAGGGGGGGATAGAGCGACAGCAATAAAAACTAACTTAGTTGGGTACATGGAAGGAGAGATTGGTCACCGATTGAATCTTTCTTTATCGAATCAACATCAAATATACATGCAGTAATGGAAATGATCCTACACCTATTCCAGATATATGGAGAATTCTATTACCCCTGTCATTACAAAGAAGGAGAGAGAGAGAGAGTGAGGACTTAATAAACTCTGTCTCGAAGTTGTGGAGTTACGTGACGTGATATGAATATGAACAATAAATTGTGTCCGAAACGTTATCCAGTAGATCATACCATTACTTCATTGTATCTGACATTTCTAATAAACAGACTAAGATGGAATTGGATATCCATATTGACTAGAGTATCACTATTACTATATTCAGTATTATATGTCACCCACTTATCATATTGTTAACATCATAAATCCACCTGATTACATAACCCTTTCTGGTTACTTCTAACCTTATATCATTCAATAGTGAAAATTCAGCGCCTTACCTTACACATAATTGTTATACAGTTCGACGGAATTTATTACCTGAACATTTTTTGATTTTTAAAATACTCTAACCAGTATTGTAAAGGTATTTTACTGTTTAGAATGGCAATTATTTACCTATTTGTTCAGGTTGTATGCTGCTGAAGAGAATTCTATGAAATACATAACGTGATCTTGTCCTCCGAATCAGTGTTCTCACTGAGTTGCTGGTATTTATACAGTAGGCTGCGTGAGAAACCATATGTTATTGATGGATAGTGGCCAACAGTAAACTCCGAGCTGTATATTTCATCCTTTAAGCGACTCGTCAACTAGACATACGTCTTTCCCAGTGAGTGATGTTGTTTCCACTAGAACTCGGCGCCGATTGCTTCAAATGCCAGATTGTTATCCAAATAGACTACTAAGTCACGATAGCCACTTCTTGTTTGGTGGGTGTAGTTTCAATGTTATTGCTTGTACAGGCACACCCAGCTGATGAACCCTAAACAAGACGAAACGCGCACCCTGGACTCCATAGTCAGCCACTATCCATCAATAATATCAAATTGAAATGACAAACAATATCGAGGTGTCTGCACAGGAGCCCATATATCGGCAGAGACAGATCAATTTGGTCTACTCAACGGTGGAATAATACAAGTAATAACGTTGTTTTTGAGAAACAATTTCCCCCTTCATTTCAGGTATATAAACCGTATACTCTCAATAACACCTTGATAAACTCCTTTCTATACATAAATTTCAGTTTAATCAAGTATTATTAACATTTAAGTGGTTAGAAATAACTAAAACCTCGTTTCTTAACCCTACAGGTTCGAATCCATTGGAATTGACTTATGAAGAAATATTTGGTCGAGATCACTATCCCCTTTTACATTTACTTTCCAGAATTCCTATTGTTTCATATGATAATATTTTTAACTGTACAACTCAGAATAATTGTAAACCAAGGAAATTGGATTCATCACAAACCATATCACATAGAAATACAATTCGAAAAATAAAACAAAATCCTTTCCAGAAAATGCTCATTGCTTATATTGATTCATAAGATAAAAAGTTCTTCCACTTTGTCATTTTCCCTATTCTTCAAAAGCATATCTCGAACTAAAATGTCATCTAAAAAGCAAACTATTTAGCTTGAGATTTATATGAATCTTATTTATTTGAAGGATATATTCATCAGAGACTGACATCATCTGGAGAACTATCGAATACCTAGGAGAACTAGAAATATGTTTCCCCCTTCTAGTATGGGACGTTTCAGTAGTTAACGCGTTCGCTGTGAAACCTGAAGGTCCTGAGTTCAACGCCTGAAAGAGAAGAGTATTGGATGAGTACCATTGAAATAGTCCCATTCCAGGAAGAAACAGCTGTCTGATACCCCCAGGTTTTTGACTTTTCTCAACTATTGTCAGTCTGGGACGAATATTACCTTAAAATTATTGATTTGTTAGAGTTTTTTTTAGTAATTCAAGTAAATTTGTTACCACAGACTATTGTTTTTGGCACAAATAACAATCCTTTCCAATGTCAATAGAAACATACATATCAATATTAGGTGATCGTGAAAATTCCCAGGCTTGGTGAAATAATTTTGATGTTAGTTTTTGTGAATTTCCTCACAGAAATTGAAAATGAAAACCATTAAATGATTCTTTGACAAATAAAAATACGATAATGACAGAAATGAACTATCAATGTTGAGACAGAACATGAAACGTTTTAACGAATACAACTTACACTACTTACTAATTAAAAGTAGCACAGAACGATATGCAAAAAACAGAAAGTAAAATCGAAATGGGAGAGAAAATGTTTTTTCGTTTCGTAGAGTGCTAGTTTCTAAGGTTGGGAATTGAAATTCTGACAAATTTTCGAAACACATGATTTCGAATCAGCATAAAGTGGTTATTCTTAAAAATGTTCACGTATATATCTGTGCGTGATATGAGGTAGTTGTCCACCAATGTTGAACATCAACATGTAACACAATGAAGAATACCAGAAGAAATGTAACCGTTTTAATTTACTGTCTCTGTACATACTTCAGTTTTAACAGGTCGCAGAATATTCGTTGCGATAGCAGTTAAGAGACTATAGATAACCAAGGAATCAGTTAAGGACGAAACAGCTGCCAGTGCTCCCAGATTTTCAATGATTCCCCAACGGATGTCAGTCCATGATGAATACTACTTCTAAATTAAAAATTCCCATTCATCTCAAAAATGCATTACTGTATAGTGCTCATTGGTGACTTGCTTCTAGATGGATGTCAGAAGTTCCTACTTCTACCAGACAGACAGAGGAAATCGATATAGAACCTTACACACACAAATGCATCTGTTCAAGTTGTCAAACTTTAACGTTAATATCCAACGGAAAAGTTGTGTAACAGGATAGATAATTTGAAGATGATGGTTAGTGAAGATATCAATCGGTGCTGTTGTCACCGATATCCAGCGATTTCCCAAAAAGTTGTCAACCACTAATTCCTATCGTCTCAAATACCTTCACTCAGGTAGTCAACATCTCCTCATACAGTTCAAACTAAGACTGACAAATTTCAGGAATTGATACCACATCTTGTTCTGGTCACACTAAAACCTCTTCCAACCTAATCGTACATCATCTAGCATGATACGTCAAGGTAGACAATGCCTTAGTATAAACGTTTCAATACCGCTGAACCTGAAGATGAAAACAAATAACATAAAAAGATACCAGTTCACCTGTAAAAAAAGATATAATGACCAGCTATTTCAATCGAACTACAGACATTCATGAACAACTGCCTACACCAGCTCGATTCTAGAGATCAGATGGCCAGAATAATAAGAATAAGCAACAAGGCTCTCTGACTGGCTGTCTGGCAACGAACCAACGAAGCGAGAACCTATCACCCAACAAATATGCAGTGGAAGGAAGTGAGATGGATTAGATTGGGCATACACTGAGATAACCGACTGTGGACATCATGCCAGACCCTCGAGTGGAATCCGAAAGGGAAGCGATCAGTTGGGAGTCCGAGGATGACATGGAGAAGATGGTGTGTGAGGAAGAAATGAAGGCAGCTAGTGAGCTGTCGTAGAGGCAGGTTCAAAAGACTGCAGAGAACAAAGTGGAATGAGATGTGCTACAGAAGCCGTATGTTCCATTAGGAACCCAAGGGGCAAATAATATACTACTAATAATAATAACAATAATAATTTCAATCGAAAACTTATTATTATCCAAAGTGTTCAATAGTGAAGAGTTCATTTGTATGATTTATAAAATCGGTAAATTCAATCAAAACATAATCTGTATGAAAATGATTAAATATATATTGAAATAGATAAAATACTTTTTTTTATAGACTTTTTTTCTCTAGAAAAGACTGAATTAAATGGAACATAGCAACTGGCCTATCTCTAGGTACCATATGGCCAGCTCCTCGAACAGTTGAATAGATAAATTTCACATTATTCTTCGAAAATGATTTCCAATATCCTCCAATTTGTTTTGTACCATCTTCAGATGTGTATATCCAATGTTGTCGATAATCATGAAGCTAAATTAAAGACAGAATTATCATATAAAAGATAAGTAACAATGAAAACTATGTCAACTATATGATTACAAGGTTGACTTTCAGTAAGATTGAAAGTATTATTCTGAGTGAATTTAAGAATTGTGAACATCGTCTCACTTAGTAGTGAAATCTTGAGTTTATCAGTGACCAAATCTGAGAGATGATTCCTGAAGTTCCAACAATAAGTCGTCAACTTGAACATGAGAACAGTTATTCAACGATGGCATTGAATGGATGTCGTGCTATGCATGAGGACAAAGTGCTGACCTCAGAACCTGTAGGTCCTGTGTACCTGAGTTCTGGGTCATGAACGAGCACCTCTGAGGACTCCTATGCTAGGATGAAATCAATATCAACATAGGACCAGGCATTACTGCGTAACGGTCTGAGTTACCACACCTCATATCAGTACAGTACATCAAGTAGAAAGGTAGTGAGGTGGAAGATGAAGATAAGAGAATGCAGTCGAAAGAAATATAAAGTACGAGAAGAAAGAAATGGAGAATGAGAAAATGGTGAGATTCGGTAGAGCGTCGTTAAGATGAGGATAATGTGTGTGGGGATACATCTGCGCCACTGACATCGGTCCTCAGCCATATCCCTTAGAGTCTCCAAACAAGATTAATTGACTACTCCATTAATTACTAGGGTCAACCTACTGAGTCAACTAAGTTATTTATTTTCATTTGCTAAAGAGTTATTACATTTATGCAGACATCTTAGAAGCTGGGACTCAATGAACGCAGACTCAACAATATACTTCAACTTAAGGAACTTCATCGTAGTAAATTAGTAACGAGAAAGCAGAGGCTAGAACGGAGAAGGAGTATAGTGTTAGTGTTTAACTTTAATGGACTCAATTGCTGCACATATTTGGTAGTTTGACAGAAATTTATTCAATAAGTGTCTCATGAACTCAGCCAGAATTTGTTTCGAGCGCACATTGTAAGTTTTGGGCCAAAACCCGAAAATTTTACTTCGAACGCAGATTGGAAGATGCACGATATTCCCCAAAGTTCTTAAACATTTGACCCGAAACTGTCAAAAGTTTCTAAGTGCCCCTGAATTGTATACAACTCTCCCAAAATTCACAAAGTGTAGGCAGTGGGCCCTAAGTTATATTCCCAGTTCTGAGAAGCCATATTTCATAATATTCGAATGTATATCGTTTACGTTTCACTGCCACATGTGTTTGTGTATTACAAATCAATCAAATAGAAACAGCCAACGGAAATAATTGAAAATTTTAGAGGACACTGGAAATTTGGAAAGTGCAGGTACAGTTCCTCCGGACTAAAACTCAAAAGTTCCAAGGTGCGCCTGAAGTAAATGGTGGCAGGAAGTACCTCGAGCACAAAGGTTAATGGTCAAAAAGCATGTATACAACCTCATTTTAAACCACTTATGAAACAGCTGTTCAGTGCTCACAAGCTTCCAATGTTCCTCTTACTGATGTTAGCCATTAATTAGTTTCAACCTTAAGTTCGTGAGATTCTCAAAACTTGGTAACAATAAGATTCTCAGCAATGACTTCTTTTGTAAGCCAAAGTTTTCTGACAACAAACTACAATCTATCCAACACCATGAATGATATCAAGAAAGTGACAGGATCAAGGAGAAGTGCACAACATCTAATACTGTTTCATATTAACAGTTAGAAACAGCTTTGACCAGTCCGTTGATAATGTATCCTAGGTATTTAACGAAGTGACCGAACAATGGGATGGTTGTTCCTGTAGTTTCAGATCGTGCTAATCATCAGTGTTACCGAATCGATTGAATTTATTCGTTTAAGGTTGGTGCTCATCATGAGCCGATATCATCTGGAGAAATATTGGAAGTCTGGGAGCACTTCATAACTGTTTCGTCCAAGTATGCGACTCTTCAACAGTGCGCACCTGTAAACCCACCAAGGATCGGACCCACTACCCTCAGGTTCCATGGCCAGCATGTTACCTGAAGATCCTAGGTTCGATACCTGGTAAGCTGTTCACCGCTAAGGAGTCCCACACCAGGAAGAAATAGATGTCCAGTGCTCCCAGTTTTTCGGTGTTTCCCCTAAGTTACTTCAGTCCATGATGAATACCAACCTGAAAACAATAAGTAAATCCCCGTAAACCTCCTATTTGACACAGTTTAGACAGTTAATTCTTTCATATTAAACTGTATTTTAATCTTCAGCGAGTCTCAATCAGGCTGAAAAGCAGCGCTCGCCTATTAGTCAGTTTGTAGCATGTAAGTGTTGGAAGACTGGTAAGTAGTAGTGAGAGTCGTAGTGGTGGTGGTGGTGGTAGTAGTAGTAGTAGTAGTAGTAGTAGTAGTAGTAGTAGTAGTAGTAGTAGTAGTAGTAGTAGTAGTAGTAATACAGGTATTACCGATAGTAATTCTACTACTAATGGTAAGAATGGCGATGGGGTTGAGGGCGAATTCAATGCCTCTGCTGTGTTACCATACAAGGAAGTCACCTCGGAAGCCTTAGGAGGAATTCTCAGTAACACTGGGATTAAAGTGGCTGCTTTTTAAACCAACAAAGTCACCTGTTGATGCAAGTGAGCAAAATAATGTGGTGTACTAAATCGCTTGCAAAAATTACTATGTCAAATACATAGGTGAAAGTAGTCGACCAGGGTCGATTCGAATAAAGGAGCACAAAGACTTAGCTAAATCAACATTAGTCGATCCTAATAAGAAAAGACATTTAGAGAAAAGCTGAGCTATAGCTGTGCACGCAATTACACATAATCATACAGTAGGGTGGGATGAAGTGACAGTTTTAAAAACTAACGTAGTTGGGTGAAGGCAGGGAGAGATTGATGACCGAGTGAATCTTTGTGTGTCGAATCATCACCAGACACATGCAACAGGAATTGATTCTAGCCTTATGACAAAGAAGGAGAGAGACAGTTAGGACTATATAAACTCTGTCTCCACATTGTGGAGTTACCTGATATGACTGTGGACAATAAATTGTGTCTGAAAAGTACGTTCTCCAGTCAGTGATACTGTTTCTTCACTGTGTGTGACATTTCTAATAAACAGACTAAAATGGAATTAAAATCTACTCCAGTGCCTACGTTTCAATTCTATATTAATGATTAGATGAAAATATGAATTCGCTCGTATATTTGCCTCTCTTAGGATAACTGTATAGCAGTTGCAATTATGATATAACCTTGAAGATCTACAGGCAAAAACTAACAAGTTGACAGAAGAGGTAGGGCAGAGAAGACGGAACTTCAAGTGAATATAGAGAAGACAGAGGTGATGAAGATACCGCACCAACAACTCCAACAACAACAAGAAGCTCTAATCACCATCAACGGGAGAAACTTCAAAGAAGTAGCCTCTTTCACCTACCTAGGCAGAGCGGCACTGTTTCGACTACAGGCACAGACGAGGATGTCACAGCAGCCAGGATCGGAAAAGGAAGACAGACGTTCATTTACCTGAAATCAGTGTGGAGATCTACTGCACTGTACTCCACTCAGCATAAATTGTGAACAACATCCGGATTTTCAACACCAATTCAGTCAAAACAGTGCTGCTGTATGGTTCATAAACTTGTCGCGTTATGAAAAGCATTTCCAACAAACTGCAGATATACATCAACAACTGCCTACACTGGCTCGTTACTGAAGACCAGATAGCCAGAACAATGAGAATAAGCAAGAAGGAACTATGACAGACTGGCTGGCAACGAAGCGAGAACCTATCACTCAACAAATATGCAGAAGAAGGAAGTGGAGATGGATTGGGCATACACTGAGAAGGCCGACTGTGGACATCACGCGCCAGGCCAGTCACTCTAATGGAGCCCAGATGGGAAGCAACGAGTTGGGCGGCGCATCTGAGGGTGACATGGATGAGATGGTGTGAGGAAGAAATGAAAGGTTGTGCGCAGTCGTGGAGCGAGGTTCAAAAGACTGCAGAGAACAGAGTGGAATGGAGACGTGCTGTAGAAGCCGTATGTTCCATTAGGAACCCAAGGGACAAATAATGATAATATTGCAATTATGATATAACCTTGGATTGGCTGAATATTAGTCAAATAGTTTATAAAGCAAATATAATTTTTAAGTCTTAATAACGTCTTGTATTCACGTGGAAGCCACTTCTTCAAAGAATTGTCAAAGATTATTACTGAATTAATCGATTCAGACAAAGTATTGTTAATTTGCTGAATCGAAACGAATACTCATTCTTGGAAAAACAACAACCTAAAACTTACTTTTAACTTCAAATTGTCTACAAACCATTCATCTCCGATAAAGTTGCACACCATATCAACATCACCATTATAGAGCAGTATTGGAACCTAGAGGAGGAAAGTAAATGAGGTAGGTTATACAGGAAAACATCATATTGGTAGTTATTTATTCGATTTATTTTAACAACTTTCATTCAACACTACTATTCTATAAGCATATAAGGAAGAAATGAAAGCTTCTGTAAAGTTATGGAGCCAGTCTGAAAAGACTACATAGAACAGAGTGAAATGGCGAAGTGCTAGTGAAGCCCTATGTTCCACTATGAACCTAAGCGACAAATAATAATAATAATAATATTTCGATAAGCATAGATCAGTTTATCAAATCAGAGTAGTCTCACGATATTCAATTGCTTAAAAAGCTTTGATCTTAAGGGGGAAACTGGCTTTCCCAATGCAAACAGGACTGAATAGATTGTGCACACAAGCTTGTTAAAGCCTACACATATTATAAGTTTGATGAAGGGTTTTGATAAACAGTTTAAAGTTATCGATTCAGTTGCTGGAGTGAAAGTGAGTTTACTTGAATTGAATACTTGTAATCTCTCACCACTGCTACTCATTCATTAAGGGATAAAGTTTATTCAGCACACTAAATATTCCCATTTTGATAGTTAAACAAAAGACTGATCGAGGAAAGAAAGTGGACCACTGAGCAGCATGATAGATAAATTGTCCTTTCTATTGTAGATACATACATGACACTTTTATTCTGTGTTAAAATGATACTAATCCTGATATTCAGAAATTGAGTTCATCTGTGAAACAAAAATAGACGGAGATCTGACATTTCTAGATGTTTTACTATCAAAACGGACATAGCGCAGTATCAGACATCGTATTTATTGTAAGGAATTATGGGTCCGTCGGTTTACACATTCTTCTTCGTTATGTGCAAAAGGAATTTAATTCGTACACTAAGATTTCGAGTCGGTATTATATTTGCACAGCTGAATTAAGAACAGCAGAGAACTCTTTATATGATTACGAGTATCTTGAACAGTTCGTAAGTACTGTAACAATAAAAAACAGCTGCAGAAAAGCGCCTTCAAATGGTGCAGAGTACAAACGATTGTATCAAACCTTAGCGTTCAAACGAGATGTAATTGAAGAAATATTGATACGGAAACTCAGAAATCTGATTAAAAAAAACCTTCTTTGCCTCCTCACCATATTTGATGTTTACTACTCTCCACATGATGACAATGCAGTTGATGGATAGGCTTACGAATCTCACCACATCTATGTGCATTTATAAATCTAACTACACCTGTGGAGATAGTTACATAGGTAGAAGGACTCAGTAAGCCCACCATCACTTCACTAAACACTATCTAGAGTGGTTTGGCAAAGGAACAGTGAAATCCATCAAAAACTCAATGCTCCACCATTACTAGATACTGAACACAAAATTAACAAATTCTCACCACTTACTACTATTTATAAAGTCACTTCACTACACTCCAATTCTGTGCGCCTCCAATTGCTAAGCAATGCACAAGTCATAACAATTAAAATTTTCAAACTGGATCTGTGTATTCACAAGATGTTTGTTCATTCTCTTTCCCTTCACTCCCATAGCGTTCAACTTCAACCTAAACACAATTACACTAAATTCCTTCCCAATCATCCGGATAACAGTAAATATTATCTCTGTTTGTACATTCTGTTATCTAATCACTAGGTGACAATAATTTTATTTGGGAGAGGAATGGGGATTTTCAACTTTGAGGTAGTATTGATCACGGAGTGATGTGAGTTGGGGGAAGCAGTGAGAATTTGGAGCACTGGACAACTGCTTCATCCTAGTACGAGACTCTTCAGCAGCACGCACCCACGATCTGGTTAGTCATTGAACTGACGACTTTCAGGCTGCATTGTGAACGTGTTGGGTGATAGTCACACTGTATCGTGAAGTTGGAAACTGTGAACCATCGAATTGCAACCCAGTGTCTGAATGGTTAACGCGTTGACTGTGAAACCTGAAGGTCGTGAGTTCCGATCCCTAGTGGGGGTTGTGGGTGCGTACTACTGAAGAGTCGTATGCTGGGATGCAGCAACTGTCCAGTACTCCCAGGTTTTCAATGCTTCCCCAAATGATGTCACTTCGTGATGAATACAGGCACAGAGTGCCTGTAAACAAACACATACGCACACATCCTCAAGGATTGATTACTGAGAATGTAGAAACTTTCCGAGATTTTGTTTTATTTTGTTATTATCACCTTTGTTGTTTGTTATCTTCTAATTCATCTACCAGAATTCAATTAATCATGTTGGTATCATATAATGGCTATGCTGAATAATTTGTAAATGTAAAGCCTGATGAGAATTTGTCGAAAAAAACGTATTCCCTTGGAACATTGTCTTTTCATTATGATGTAGTGACTTGGAAACTACAGTTTCAGTTTAAAATACTTTTGAGCTGATGTTTTCATTCTGTTATTATTTTAGATTTCAATCTCTTATGGTTAAATATCGTATAAATGAATAATCACAAAGATTATACCTACTGTTAAAATATTGTAAGATGTCACAACCAAATGTTGTTTCAAATATGTACCTTCGGAGACTGTTTAGACTATTGTCAGGTAAATGTTACCTTACTTATAAAATAATTTTATATTTCCAATATGACTACGGAGAAAGAAATGATACTAACACTAACTGACAAGATAGACATCAGTTCCAATTACCTAGGAGATGTTTCCATAGCCTAGGCAGTACTGCATTTCATGCGCAGACAACTAGGTACTCTTATCTCGGAAATCTTTCTGAAGCTTTACAACATCTATATACGACCTCAGTTTGAGGTCCACAATATCATTGCACCATCATACCCTTAGGAAGTGGCCATAAATGGAAAGCATCATACAAGGTCACTCGCTGTTGGGGTGGAAATACTTTTAAATACATTGAATATTCCCATTCAGACATTTAGAAAAAGACTGACTGAGCGAAGAAATGTATATTCCTTTTCAATTAGGTCTTCTTCTTGAACTCTACACTAATATATAGGGGGTCTACAATTTAATCAGATTACCAATCACATGGTAATGTTTCAGAAATCATGATGTAAATAATCAATAGGGTTACTAAAATAGGAAATATGAATATTGATAGAAACAAGGGGAAAGGGAAGAGGTGTACAAGGTGACCCTAGAAGTCATATCATGTTGACGGCCACAGTAATGAAAGTGGTCTAACAAACTTCTTTTAGATACAAAGGTTAGGTTTGTGAAGGTGGATTGCAATCGCCTCTGTTATGTGAAGTAACTGAGTGCGTAATCGATGAGGTAAATTAATTGGAATCTGATGGATAATTTTGAAGGTTTTTCCAGTAACCACTTGATGTCCTGTGTCAACCAAATGTGCAAGTATGGAGCTCTTTATAGTTCTAATTTGTCCCTTGTTCAACCATGATGGGTGGTACTCAGAAATTCGACGATGGAACTGCCTCATTGTACACCCAGGAGCAGTTGAATTGATAAATGCACATAGAAGTGACACAATTAGTCACTTCGTCTTTATTTCTTGCACTTCGAATCTGGCAGTTGTAGAAGGGGGGACATAATTTAGCGACTGGGAATGCTTTATGCAAGACTCTTTTTATGCAATGTGCGATGATCTCACTGGCAATATCACTCTTAAATTCCAGCTTCAAGAAGATTTGCTTCTTGGGCACTGTTGGCATTGTCGTCTTAACCCTCGTAATATTCATGTGCTTAGTTACAAACTTGTCTGGTTAGCCATTCCTACTAAGCAGATCATGGATGGTGACGCACTTTTCCTTTATAGCATCCTCTGAGAAAATGGCTGATTTATATCCATCTGATTGATGATCAAGTGGCTTCATTTTGTGATTAGAAGCTGTTTTTTTCAGCTAAAATTGTCTTCCTTAGGTCAGTCACAGGCAGGTATTTTGTCTTCTGATTTTCGTGGATCAGTGGAGTATCAGGTGTGGTGGACAACAGTCGTATTACTCATATCTCGTTTCATTATTACTCGTTTCGCTTTCTATTAGAACTCAAGTTCAACTACAAGTGAGTCATATGACATACCAAAAAGACATGTGAACCTCCCAGAAAATCCAGAGGCGAGGAACGAAGGATGTTGTAGCAGAACGACAAAAAACCTATGAGGATAGACTGAACAGAACGGTCACTGCGGCAATCTTCCTTGTAACCCAAGGGGGATCACTACCAAAGGGTGAAAATCCGTATGCATCCACACTTTTTCTCTCTACTAGTTTGCGGCCGTTGGAACACATTGCCAGCCGAAATTGCTACTGTTGTGTCTATCGACAGCTGCAAGAAGAGGCTGAACACCTACACAGCAACACACAGCTTGCAATCAACTGATTCCGTATCATGCTAGCACATTCAACCGCATATCGAACCTCTTGTACTGCCACTATTATCGCGAACTTGACTCAATCTTATACTTCCGTGTTCAACGTCTCATCTTTACTCACCGTATCCGCACTAATAAATTTGCTAGTTTTATTCCTATCTTACCCACTCCTTCTCCTCCCTTCGACTCTATAATTTCACCCTATTTATTGACTTTCTCATTATCTCTGTTTTCTTCCTCGTATCTATCTAGGTCTCTTTTTTCTCTTCCTTTCGTTCTGTTTCTTTTCAGCTGGTTTCTTCTCACTTCCTCTACTTCTTATTAGCTGGACAACATTTCATTCTTCTTATCTTCTTTCTACAACCAGTCTGAACATGTGTTTGCTGACACAAGAAACTCATTTGCACCACAGTCTTAGGACATGTCATACAATCCTCCTACAAATGTGTGGAGATCTTCTGCACTGCACTCAGCATAAAGCGTGAACAACATCCAGATTTTCGACACTAATTCACTTAAGTCAGTCAGTGCTTTTATATGGTTCAGAGACTTGGTGCCTTACGAAAACCATTTCCAACAAACTACAGATATTCATCAACAACTGCCTACACTGGCTCGATACTAGAGATCACATAGCCAGAATCATGAGAATAAGCAAGAAGGAACTCTGGCAGGCTGGCTGGCAACGAACCAAC